TTAACTTGTGCTTTTCTTAAATTTGTATTCAATATATATATATATATATATTTGCAAAGATTGATACATGTTTTGCTTAAATATACTTTACAATACTTTCATTTAACTTGTGCTTTTCTTAAATTTGTATTCAATATATATATATATATATATTTGCAAAGATTGATACATGTTTTGCTTAAATATACTTTACAATATACTTATTAAGAAATTTTTTTTTAAATTTGAATTTAAGGAAAAAACATTTTTAATCACAAAATTTAATAGTTGAACCAGTAAGTATTACTAAGTATGTTAAATGGAAGGGTATAAAAATCATTTTTCTACTTTTTATAGGAAAATTATTGATATACTTTTTAGTTTGACGCACCTTTCAATATTTGCTTAGTTCAACTATTAAAATATAATATAAGTAAAGTGAAGTCAACTGAATCTTGCATTTTATATGCATGGTTACATTTTTAAGTTTTATTTGTCTGTAATTTTAAACCAAAAAGTAATAAATTTTAGTGAATGTGTTATATAGTATGGTAAACTGAAGAGTACACCAATTAATGTCCTTTTTATAATTGAAATACTCATAAATTTAGAAAATTAAGCCATGTTTAAATTAGTTTTAAGTTTTGTTTTTTAATTTTTAATTTTTAATTTTTTTATTTAGTAAATATTATTCCCTCCATTGCATTTTCTTTTAGTTGTTCTAATTTGAAACTGCATGGATAATTTTTTTGGGTAAATATCAAATTAATCTGCAACGTTTATCATAAATATCAAATAGGACAATGATTGGTATACCTTGTGATTTGATATACTTTTTAATACTCATTTGGTTCAACTATTAAATATAAATAAGTACAACCAATTCAACTAAATTTTACATCTTGCATGGTTGCAAACCGAATTGTGTATATGGTTATATTTTTATATTTATTTGTATTTAATTTCATATTAAAAAATAATAATTTTTTAATAAAAATATTGTGTTGCATGTAAAACTTGAGGATGAACCAATGACTGTCTTACTAAATATCATCCCAACATTTCATTTAGACAAAAAAAATAGTTCCAAACGTTTATAAATCTCCTAATCATATTGTTAGTGACTTCCACTAGAGTCCATAATAGAAGTCCTAGCTAGAATTTTGACTGACCCTTGAGGTCCTTAAAATGACAACTCAATTTTTTTTCTAATTTTTTTGGGAAGATGATTGGCAAGTTAATATAGTTTCTAACATTCATCTTAATTCAATTATTAAAATATAATAAAATACAATTGATTTAGTCATTTTTTTCATTTTTTATGCATAGTTGTATTTTTTAATTTATCTATCTGTAATCTTAAATAAAAATAATAATTTTTTAATAAATATATTGTGCAATATGTACCAGTTATTGTCCTATGCTTTTACTTTGAATTTGTCTCCCAATTTCATTGTCGCTCTTTGATATTCTTAAAGTAAGTAAATATTTTTTTCCTACTTTAATGGTATGGTTATCCATTTACTTTAATTATTCTTCTTATGAAAAAACAATATCTTTATTTTTTTTTTATCTAATTCTTAAAAGTAATATAGATAAACACAAAAATTGTTTCCTAATCTTAATATTAGAAAAAAATACAACAATTATTTTGAAATAGATGGAATATAATTTTTATTGTGAGAAGCAATAATTACTTTATTCAATCCAAAAATAACAGCAGCTGTGCCTCATCTTCAACAGCTCATGGGTCTGTCCTTTCTTCTAGAAATCGCTGGTCTTCTCAATTTCTTACTGTCTCTGGAGCTTGGGTCTCCATTTCTAGGAAGACCTGCAGCCTCTTACTAGTAAATTGGTAAGATTGAGCACAAAAAAATTGCTTCCTTTCCTTAATTTCAGTAGTCATAGTGTAAATTTTGACTGTTTAAATTGGGAAATTGTATGTGCTCTTTCTTGCTTCTAAGTTGGCTGCACTATTGAGGCTTGAATCTTGGCTGTTTTTGCTGCTGTTTTGCCTAGAAGAATTCTGCTGTTTAAACCGTAAATAGCTGCTGTTTTTACTCAGAAAATTATGCTGTCTTTGCTGCTGTTTTTGCTGCTGTTTTAGCAGAAAATCCTGCGGTTTTTGCCGTAGAATTTTACTGTTCACGCAGAAAAATTATACTGTTTTGCTGCTGCATTTCTGCAACCTGTTTTTCTGCTGCATTTTTCTGCAATCTTGACTG